CAGTCTTGGACTGGAAAGAAGTTTGAAAAAATTATGGTGATTCTAAAAAAGAGAATGCCATGAAATTAACATAAGATGAAAAATATGATAAAGTGATGTATCAGTTTATGGGGAGAGAACTTAAAAAATATCCCTTTTGCATTCGTTTCCCCATAGCCTTAGCTTATAAGCTAGGAATAGAAAGTAAGAAGGTGATTCTTCAGAACGATACAGAAAACAAGACCAAATGGATCAACGTTCGTTACATGGGCAACAATACCGTAGATTTATATGAAAATCTGAAATCCATGTACGTGTATTGTGACTTGATTGAACCCCAGACGGTAGAATCCAATGCCTTGAAATTATTAAGAGTGGTTCCTTGTACACTCAATCTGGAAGATAAAAAACAAGCTAAATGGGAACCCGTTAGAGCGGAATATTTGAAACTGAGTAAAAAAACATTTCGATAGCATTGAGATTCATATCATGACTCCTATAGGGACTCCCATGCCTTTTTTAAATGGAAAATCGGTCGTGAAACTTCATTTCAGAAAAGTGTACTGAGATGAGTGTACATCTTTTTTGTTACATCCTATTGGGAGTGAAGACTTGTCTGATATGCTGTCTGTATTGTATTCAACCCTAAGACAGGGTGTATAAAAGATGTCACTTGAGTGCATTAAGGTCAGTCTGACACGAGTCATGAAACATGCAGTATCATCCCGGATTATTGAGACAAAGAGGACACGGACAGTTTGTCTATCATAGAGGTTTATTACGTCAAAAAGGACACGGTGTAGGTTGAATTATCTCTGGATTGGTTGGAGCCCTTCCCTTTGATTCTACCGGACTACCACCCTGGTTTAATCCAATCAAATTAAAGAAATTTGGTAGGTTTGTGGATCGAATTAAATGTCAAAGAGGAGGAAATTTTTTAGACTTCATTTCGGGACTTGTACCGAACTTACCTATAGGGATGACTTTAAAAGAAGTTGTCCAGTTAGGCTCAGGCCGGCGACAAAGAGGTCGAGGATTTCTTAAAGATCTAGTCAAAATGGGTCGTAATCAAGCCTTGCCGGAGCTAAAATAGGAGCGGATATGATTAAAAACAAGAGGCCCAAGGGCCTTAACCGTCACCTGAGTATAATACAACAATTTAGAGGATCCATAGAGTATAAAATGAACTGAAAGGTGAATTAGCTTTGTTGCCCAAAAGCAAGAAAAACAGAATGATCATGATCAAAAAAAATAATTAGTCTAGCATTCATTCACAGTTCATAAATTAGGTTCTAATCTGTTCCTCACTTAACACTTTCACCATACAGTAAATTAACAAAATATCACTGCTTCTGTACCATCTTAATTCCTTGTTGAAATCTCTTACATTGGCCTCTCTTGATCTTTGATGAACATTTAATAAGACAAGTTATTTTTGTCTCATTTTTATTTATCTATTACTTACAAGTCTACCTGATCATTAAAACTATGAAAGTACTTTTTGTATTATACAATAAAAATTCTTGCATAATTCTCTTATTCTATTAACCTTTCAAGTACATTATTTACAGTGATTAATTATCAAAAGTAAATGGCAAAGGGGAATAACTCCTCTCAGTAGATTACAAATTAATAGTGCCCTAGCTAGGACCAGAACACTTGACTAAATGGTCCAGATGTTTAAATATCTGGTAAAAATACCATTCCTTATTAAAACTTTTACTCTTATTGCCTCTGATATGCCAAGGTGCAGAGAAAATTTTTAAAGAAATAATGCATTTTTACTACAGATTCACTGTATTATCAATAGAACCCCACCCCTCGATCGAGAAACATCAGAGCCTCTCACCCTGGAACCAGAAGTTTGCACATCATAAGTAATCACTTTGTTTATCTGCTTAACACTGAGGAGCAGACAGGATTATTTAATAGAAATAATGCATTTTCACTATATTATCAAGAGCCCCACCCCTGAACCAGCACATCTGACCCAGGGGTCATGCAATTCACTACTCTGGAAGAAGCACTCTTGCTCATCATAACTATACATTAGCTTCTTTGCTTTTTAACCAGAAGCAGAAAAGAATGTTTTCAGAAAAAAATTGCTTTTTCACTATATAATCAATAGAGCCCCCCCCCCCTTTTCACCAGAACCCTTGACCCTGGGGCCATGAAATTCACAAGTTTGGAAGAGGCATCCTTGCATATCATAACAATGTACTTAGTTTGTTTAAATAATACCCAGGGGCAGAGAAGAAGAGTTTTAAAGAAATAATTCACCTTCACTATAGGATCTATATGGCCCCACCCTAGCACCAGAACCCCTGTCCCTGGGGCCATGAATTTCACAATTTTGGAAGAGGCATCCTTGCTTATCATAACAATGTACTTAATTTGTTTAAATAATACCAAGGAGCAGAGAAGAAGATTTTTAGAGCATTAATGCATTTTCACTATATAATAAATAGAGCCCCACCCTAACACCAGAACACCTGATCCAGGGGCCATGAAATTCACAATTTTGGAAGAGGCATCCTTGCTTATCATAACTATGTATTTAATTTATTTCAATAATACCCAGGAGTAGAGAAGAAGATTTTCAAAGAAATAATGCACTTTCACTATATGATCTATATAGCCCCGCCCTAGCACCAGAACCCCTGACCCTGGGGCCATGAATTTCACAATTTTGGTAGAGTCACCCTTGCTTATCATAACTATGTATTTAATTTGTTTCAATAACACGCAGGAGTAGAGAAGAAGATTTTCAAAGAAATAATGCACTTTCACTATATGATCTGTATAGCCCCGCCCTAGCACCAGAACCCCTGACTCTGGGGCCATGAATTTCACAATTTTGGTAGAGTCACTCTTGCTTATCATAACTATGTATTTAATTTGTTTCAATAATACCCAGGAGTAGAGAAGAAGATTTTCAAAGAAATAATGCACTTTCACTATATGATCTATATAGCCCCGCCCTAGCACCAGAACCCCTGACCCTGGGGCCATGAATTTCACAATTTTGGTAGAGTCACTCTTGCTTATCATAACTATGTACTCAATTTGTTTCAATAATACCCAGGCGTAGAGAAGAAGATTTTCAAAGAAATAATGCACTTTCACTATATGATCTATATAACCCCACCCTAGCACCAGAACCCTTGACCCTGGGGCCATGAATTTCACAATTTTGGTAGAGTCACTCCTGCTTATCATAACTATCTATTCAATTTGTTTCAATAATACCCAGGAGCTGAGAAGAAGATTTTCAAAGAAATAATGCACTTTCACTATATGATCTATATAGCCCCGCCCTCGCACCAGAACCCCTGACCCCGGGGCCATGAATTTCACAATTTAGGTAGAGGGCGCAATGCTAATTACAATCATGTCAACAGTTTGACTGCTTGATGTCCAGGAGTAAAGAAGAAGATTTTTAAAGATTGCAAAAATTTTGATGGTTTTAGCCCCACCCCTCAGGCCCCAGGGGGGCAGGGACCATGAAATTCACAATTTTTGTCCCCCTTCACCCACAGATGCTATATGCCAAAATTGGTTAAAATTGGTTGAGCGGTTTCAGAGAAAAAGCTGAAAATGTTTAAATGTTAACGCACGACGCACGATGGACGACGCACGACGACGGACAAAAACGGATAGCAATAGGTCACCTGAGTGACTCAGGTGACCTAAAAAAGAGAAATACCAAAAATGCTCTTTTAACTCATGGACTCAATGCCGTTAAAAATACAGGCTTATTTGCTCTCAATATAGGAGGAAGTTTAGCTTTTAAAAAGATGAATAAGAAAGGTCAAAAAGGTAAAGGGAGAAGAAAAAGAAGAAGACAGAGAGGAAGAGGAGTTTTTAGAGATTTACTGAAAACAGAAGCTAAACATGCCTTGACTGCTGCTGCTAGAACTGGGTTAGATGTGTTAGAAAATAAGAGATCTTTAAAAGACGCTGTCAAAACTCACGGAGTACAAGCCCTGAAACAAAGAATGAATCTAGGAGGTAGTAAGAAAAGAAGAAAAAAGACACCTGTGTTAGCCCGAGGAGGTCCTAAGAGAAAAGGAAAAAATCAAGGAGGCAATATTCCCAAGAAGAAAAAAAGGGGTTTAGATATCTTTGATTAACACTATAAATAGAGGAGTCGAGTGATATTGACCTTCATTTGTGAAAAATCAATCCTAGTAGACACATCATGTTGCAACCAGATTCCTGTGCGTGTGGGATGAACAATTTAGAATTGTTCCAAGTCCCCCAACTAATATTGCTTTAGAAGACTCCAAATGGGAAGAATATTACCCCATTTCCAGTACTTTAGATTTGGATACGGCTCCTATTGAATTTGAAATTAATGGACAAGGAGATCAATATCTGGATTTATCTCAAACGTATGTTCAAATAGTGTGTAAATTTACCAAAGATGATGGTACTAATCTGACTGGAGCTGGCAGTACTTGCGCCCCGGTGAATTATATCTTCCATTCCTTGTTTACGGAAATCGATCTCAGTGTCAATGGAAAAATAGTGACTCCTGGAACCGATACTTATCCTTACAAAGCTTATCTGGAGAAATTACTTTCTTACAAACCCAGAACTTTAATGACACAGATGAGAGCTTGTAGTCTGTGGGAAAAAGATACAGCAGGGCACATGGATGAAGTAGGGGTAGCAGACCTTGGAGTGGCTCAAAATAAGACATTTGATGTAACCCCAGGTCAAGATGGTGGTGCTGATACTGTGACCATTAACCAACCTATCATCCCAGAGTTACCGGCCAATTCTAAAAACGAAGGATTTAGAAAACGTCACCAGGCTATAAATGATAGTAAGAAAATAACCTTGTATGATCGTTTACATCTGGATTTATTTCAACAAGACCGATTTTTACCCAATGGAGTAGACGTCCGTTTGAGATTTAATCGAGCTAAACCTCAGTTCTGTATGATGATCAAAGCAGGAAGTACGGGAAAAGTCAAAATATTGAGCATGATCTAGTCAAACCCACGGCCGTCATGATGAATGGTATTAATCAAGGTTTGAACACTCACAGAGCTATATATCCTTTGAGAAGAGTCGAAGTGAAAACCTTTACCATACCCACAGGAACTCAATCTAAAATCACGGATCATCTGTTTCAAGGCCAGATGCCTAAACACATCATTTTAGGCTTTGTGGACAATGCGGCTTTTAACGGAGATAAAACTAAAAATCCGTTTCATTTCCAAAACGTGGGAATTAAGAAATTAGATGTCAGTATCAACGGAGAGACCATGAGTACTCGTTGTTTCGAACCTAATTTCAATGAAGATTTATATCTGAGATCTTATCTGAGTTTATATCAAGCACTGGGAAAATTAGGAGAAGATTGGGCCCCGGACATCACCCTAGAAGAGTATAAAAACTGGTACACTTTATGGGGCTGGGATTTCACGAAAGATCAAGAAGCGCAATCGGATAAATTCCATATCACAGAAACCGGAAATCTGAGAGTAGAAGTCCAATTTACGAACAATACGGTGAACACCTTAAATTGTGTGGTATATGCAGAATTCGATAATCTGTTAGAAATTAACAAACAGAGAGAAGTCAGTATTGATTATTAATGGATACAGGACAGTTAAAAGAAGTCTTATCCAGAGAATTAAAGAGTAATTTTGGTGGAGTGTACCCTTTAGATTTATTACCGGATCAATTAAGACCTCAAGAAAAAGCCATTGTGGTGAATACGGATCCTCAAGATAAACCTGGAGAACATTGGGTATGTTTGTATTTGTCCAGTCCAGTCATCGAATATTTTGACTCTTATGGATTTCCTCCCTTACAAAAAGAAATTCAAGATTTTATCCATCGTCATGCTCACCAATGGATTTTTAATCCGTACCGATATCAAGATTGGAATACAGATATATGTGGACAATATTGCGTGTATTATTTACATCAAAGACACAAGAAGAGAAAAACCGCAGATGAGTGGTTATTCCCCTTTGACCATAGTACAGCTTTACAAAGAGATCATTATGTAGCTCAATGGTTTAAAGACACTTATCATAAAAGACCTACGGGTCATGGACAAACTTGTCAGTGTTTCTATCAAAATGTATTGTAATTGTTGTTGTTGTTGTTATTGTTATCAATAAAGAAAAAAAAATCTGTTCTTGTTCTTTTAAAATAAAAAATACTACTAAATATAGATAGAAAAAAGGTAGAAATACAAGGTGTAAAATGAAAAATATATCAGTTATTGATTTGTCTTAACCATGGGAAACACGTCTAGTAAAGAAAAGAGTAAAATTCAATTTGGAAAGAGAGTTCTAAGAGAGGAAGATGTGGATAGAGGTATACCAATTCAAAAACATGAGGATGGGACTATTGAAATCATTTCTCATGAAAAATACAATCAATTATGTCCAGAAAAGGGTGTTCTTAATGATGTGAGAGATTACATTAAAAGACCCTTGAGTGCAGAAGAAGAATATACCCATTTATTACCAAAAAAAAGATTATCCTGAAAGACCTCTGACTGCAGAAGAAGCAAGATGTGTCAAACAAGTATTTTGAGAAAAAAAGAAAAGATTGACACAGGATTCTAAACCAAGAGAAAGAATCATTGTAGAATCTGAATAAAAATAATTTTAAAATATCTTGAATTGTTATCTATATAAAAAAGTGTCACCCCCCAAAAAAATCATTTTTTCAAACATGAGTCTGACAGAAGGATTAATCATGGAAATCAGAAGTCAATTGTTGAAAGACATTAAAACTCATTATGAGAACAAACATAAAGAAGATCCAGGCAATCATTATATTGCTAAATTTAAAAAGGAGAGATTTAGAAGAGCTGCTAATTGGATATTTAATTTAACTGGAGGTCACCAGGAAGATATAGATCAAATCATTAGAAGTGATTGTCAATACTTGATCTTACAAAAAGAAATGCATCCAGAAACAGGAAAACTTCATCATGTGAGAGGATTCATTCAAATGAAACACTGGACCAATGAGAGAGACATGTACAAAATCATTCATGGGTTAACCTGTTTTGATATGTCTCACAGCACACCAGAATTAGAAAGAACATTTTATAGGCAAGGTGGCAACTATGAAGAATATGGGACTTTAAAACCTGAAATGAGAAACAAAGAATTAATTCCAAGAGATTGTAGATTTACTTGAATAAATCCATTAACATTGAGCTTTTGTGTGTGTGTGTGGTTTTTTTGCCTAGACTGTGAATCACTGCCAAGTATGACGTCATAATATAAGGTTTGTGTATTGACTGACTCAGCATAACGTAAACAAAACGTACACAGTACTGTCTCAATAAAAACGTAGGTAAAACATTTATTTTTTGCACACCACCCCTGAGGGTATAAATACAAGGTGTATAGATGATCATGATCAGTTGACCCTAACCATGAGTCAAAGTCAGTTTGGAAAAAAACCCAGAGCCTATGGATATAGATGAGGAGAAACAACAGTTATTAGAAAAAAATAGAGACAATGGATATAGATGAGGAGAAAAAACAGTTATTAGAAAAAAAGATTGATCATGCATATGGAAGAAGAACATTCCAGTCCTCGAAGGAGAATAGAAGTGAAAACTCTGGAAGAAGAAGAAAAGGGTAATGTTTACTTGGGAGAAAATGAGAAGATCCATGACCCAAAGAACCCATTCAGAGATTATCCAGTAGCCATTAATTGGGCATTTGTCATCCATGATGTGAGAGAAGAAGAAGATATAGATATGTTCATGAGTCAAAGTATAGCTATGAAATACCCCAAAGCTAATCTATATGCTACCCGCAGACCTTTAAGGTCTAGAAATTTAGCCCTAGAAGAAGATAGAGGAATTCCAGGCACCCTTAAAGTGTTTTCTTTACAAAAACCCGTAGTCATTTGTCTGTTAGCTCAATGGGATTACGGAACAGGACATTATAATCGCCTACCTTATTATCAAGATACACCAGAAAATAGAGAAAAATGGTTTCAAGCTTGTTTACAAGAATTGGGAACTTTACCTTACCAGACTTATGCCTTTCCTTATAAAATAGGATGTGGTTTAGCAGGAGGGAATTGGACTCATTATAGACAATATATTGAACAATTTGTAAAGACTTATCAAAAACAAGTGTACATTCTTCATAAACATTGACTGTGTGTGTTATAAAGATTGACTGTGTTATAAAAAAAAAAAAAAAAAAAAAAAAACAGTGACCTGGTGTTTATACGTTTCTATAACCTTGAATGTTTTATAGGTATCTTTTCGAATCATTAAAGTGGCCCTTAAAGGGCCGTTTATACGTTTCTATAACCTTGAATGAGGTATCTTTTCGAATCATTAAAGTGGCCCTTAAAAGGGCCGTTGGTTGATTTTTTTTTATCAGGGGTTTACTCCCTGAGAGGCCTGCCTCTACCTCTGCCTCTGCCGCGGAACTCTGTTCTGCCTGAGAGTGGAGGTCGCTGGTTACCGGTCAACGGCTCAACAAAGTCCGGCCTTCCGGGTGGGGGTAGAGATGACTGTCTTGGAGGAGGTGGTCTCAATCCTCGCCCGCGAGGTGCTGCATATCTCGAACGCCTGCGTCGACAAAGAGGACAGCATTGGTTCATCTGTACCAGCACAGCTGAACACTCAAAACAAGCCGGTCGACAGCGACACTGGCAGCAGATGTAATTGGACATCCGATCCTCCTCCAAGCAAACTACACAGGAATCCAGCCTGCCTGCCGCTACTTGAATCCCCCATCTAGGAATTAACCCCGTAGTACTCACACCTGGTGACATCTCCGGGGTCGGGGGTGGTGGCGGTGCCAGCTCCGGGGAGGGTGGTGGTGGTGATGGTCTAGCCAGCTCCGGGGAGGGTGCCCAGTCATCGTTGACGGGAGGAGACCAATCCGAATCAACGGATGACGAATCCCCCTGTCCAGCCCAATCGTTTACGGGAGGGGTCCAATCCGAATCTACGGAGGAATCCCACTGTCCAGCAGCTGCTCCCGGGGGATGACTGGGTGACCAGGTAGGAGTAGGTGGTCTTCTTGGAGGGGACGGGCTTCTCGGGGTGTCCTCGAGTAGTTCCGGACTACTCAGAGGGGCCGAATACGAAGCTGGTGGTGGTGGTGATTCTGTCCTCCTCCTTCTCCTTGGCTGGTCATTATCATCACTGTTAGACGGCGATCTTCGTCTTCTTCTTCTTTGTCGTCTTCGTCGTCTCCTCCCCCTTATCAGGTCACTGGCTAGGCCCAGGGTAGCTATCGGCCAGCGAGTTAACGCCCTGCCGGTGGCTACGTCTCTCACTATCCAAACATTTTCGATCTCTACCCCTGGTATGATGTAGAAATTCTGGACATCGTCCTCAGCCATCGTGGCGTGTCAGGAAAACTGATACTAACGAATGACACAGAGCTCTGTCAAGCTGCCGTATTTATGCATAAAGCGCGAGCGTAAAAGAGAGCACCCTAAAGCGAGAGCTAAAAAAATCATGGCGACGTCAAATTGTGTTATTTTGTGCTTCATAATCTATACATTGGAGTGAATAACTTATTATGGGATTAGAAATACTTTCAAACATCTTAGCCATAAGATGAAGGTAAGTTTCAGGCATGATTTCACAGTATTTTTGATGCATGACATTTATCTGTCGTCTAGAAAAGAAGCATTGATGTTGAACCGAAGGGCTAAAATCGGGTCACCTGAATACATAAAATAAGTATTTTAACCCTTTTTAAAGTGTGATACAAGGAAAACTTAATCTATACAATGAGATTAAACCTAGGGAAAAGTGTTGATGCTGTTTTTAAATCAAAGGAATGGTTTCAAGTGTAAAAATATAGCCAGAGTCGGTTTTCTGACTGAAATTTGTAAATAAATAAAATCAGTTTAGTTGAAAAACAATCTGAATCCACTTTATTTCCAGTGGGAATGTCTAGATGTTTTATAAATAACAATATTGATAAAACACAGCGTCTTATTACAAGACACAGCATTCTATACACATAGGCATGATTTTTTTAGGAATCCTGAAAGATTTTGAGATAAAACAGAATCGGATTAGTTTAAAATTAATCTATATCTACTTTAATTGAAATGGGCATAGATTTTTTTCTTACTAAACAAAAAAAAAATCTCAGCGTCTAAAAAAGGGCACAAGATGGCGTCATATTTATATAGAAATAATAACAAAGACTTATTGTGTGTTCAATCTTGATTTTATTTTTTCTTTAATAATTGTTCAAACTGTCGAATTCTCCTCTGAATTCGTAATCGATCTGCTTCTATAGCCATCCATGGACTTTTTCGATCTTCGGGTGGTAAATGATAAATTTCATTGAGGCTGGTATCAAAAGTTACACACTTGTGCCTTTTAGCATTTCTGAAATTTCTACATATTTCATCCCGTATTGGATGCATATTTTCTCTACCGTTTCTATTTCCTTCCAGAGTACAAATACTTTGCTCCCTTCGGGATGACATAGGAAACTGTACGGTTTTCCTAAATATTCGCTCATTTTCATACCGTACATTTTTTTCTGGTAGAGTCTTTTTGATCCGTTGACAAAGGAAATGTATAATCGCTAGTCTCCCCAATGTCAGATGATGTAATAAAGCCAGGCATTGTAACCACAAGTCCTGAGTGTTTTCTATGATGGTCGTCGCTCTCTGGAACACTGGTTCCGCCTCCGGGGGTAAAGCTTCTTGATTTTTCTCTATACATCGCATTAAAAAATCATACCCTTCCAACACCAAAGAGTGAGTGTGTTTATGTGTTGACATGATAGTCAATTGTGAAGAAATGACCAGAAATGTTTTCTTATGTATACCCCTGTTCTCCAAAACATGTATCTATACAAGACATACACTCTGGATGGCATTGTCAACATGCTGACTCAGCTGAAAGAGTATAACACTAGTGAATTTTGTTTGATACGTGGGAAATTGTCCCGATTAGAAGTTAAAGTCGCTAGAATGGAAGAAAAAATGAGAGGGACCTCCTACCAGAAAAATGAAGACGCAGGAGCTGCCAAGAAAAGTAAACAGACAGACCCATGTTTTATATGTAAATAGCTTGGACATTGGGCTCCGGACTGTCCCAGAAAAAAACAGAACTTATGCTACAAGTGTGGAAATTTTGGATATTAGGCCCATCAGTGTACAGATGACAGTATGGAATTTGTCAAAGAAGTCGAAAAAGTGGAGAAAATGGCTCAAGAAAACAAGATCATCCATCAGGAACATAAGACCAGTCACCAGGATAAAATTCAGGCTAACAACAAGAGGAAACTTCCTGCTACTATTACTACAATCCAGACGGAGAAGAAACAGCCCATGAAACTCCAGAAGAAAAAGTAAAAATTATGTACATTTTTTTTTACTTTGAATAAATCATCTTACAAACTTTTTCTTTGTTATTGTTTTTATTCGGTTTTCAGAAAATAGAGAGAGGCTTGCTCTGTGTGAATGACACATGACGTCACAATGCATACCTAGCTGTGATTTGAATCGATGCCAAGTTTTTGTGTGTATTGCCTATGTATTACTGACTCAGCGATTTTTACACACAAACGTAGATTAAACGTACCCCCTTTTGCACACGACTTTCCTCATGGGTTTTTCCAGGGTGTGTACTAGATTGAACCAGCCATATCCTACATTGAGGGGACAAAAAGTGCACTCAGTTGACCCAGCCATCCAGGCTGCTTATACTACTAGTAGTTTTCCCAGAATGCCCCACGTGAAGTCTAGCATGAATATTCCAGAAATATAGATTAACGTAGTTGCTAGCACTCGAGAGCGCTAGCAATTAAAATGGACAGATTGCTTTTCATCACGAAATGCATGAAAAAAGTTCACTGTGCCATTTCGATAGCCTGTAGATTTTCTTTTTCAAAGCGTTGAATTCCTGTAATTTCCTGAAAAAATATGGCAGGTTGAATCAAGAGTCATGGAGGTGTAAGCATCCCCTGTCAATAAAAAAAATCAATGCGACAAGTGTTTGACTGAAGCGGCGGTGCCTGAGAAAATTTTGATTATAATATTTTTTTTTGCCTAAACTATTTTCAGTATTTCCCTCAGCTCAGTCCAATTGCTTTAAATCATCAAAGCTTGGAATTGAAATTTCTTTGTGTAGCAATATTCATTTCAAGCTTGTTAATATGATTGGAAATTTTTTGAAGACTTGGAAGGGCATGTGAATTATTTATATGTGCTCATCATCAAAAGACAAAAAATATGCATTTTAAAAAGAAATTAACTTTTTTTTAATTTCTACAGAAAAATGAATTAGAAGCCATCCGTGAAATTTCACTGATATCATATTCTACTTAAATAATGTATAGCGAAAGATATAGCATATATAACGGAACTGAAATTCCACATAAGCATTAACCAGTAATATAGTTCTTTATTCCTGAAAAATATGTTTTGTGATAGCATTCAATGGCTATCCCAATTTTAAACCAATAAATGTTTATGAATAGCACTTACTGACTATCTAAAAAAAAATGAAACGGCATACAGAAGGACATTATTACCTCAACCCTTGTAAAATACTAAGTCACACATTTATATAATATGCACTCTAGCAATATTAAAACCAAAAAGTGATGAAATTACTTGAGATGATGGTTTATTGATAGACCTCAAACATTAAGACTGACAGGTTAACCACAAATAAAAAATTCTCCCCTTATCAAAAATACTAATCTTCTAGGACTTCTACCAAAATCATTCTGAATACAAAATGTGATTTATCAGCTGATGACAATTTAGCAGATAATTATTTTGATATAAGAATTCAGATAAAAATCTAGCCAAAAGTAGACATACGTCATATTAGTATATGAACGTGAATAGGGATTGAACAAAAAAACCCGGCTTTTTATACCAACGTAGGAACAGATTCTGTTCCAAACGAACAGAATCAAATAAAAAAATAACGGTTTACCCGTTCAAATAATTAACAGAAAAAAAAGTTCTACAACAGTTATAGTACAACATGTAATAATGAGTAAAATATAAAAATACAACTTAAGTTTAATAGGGTCCGCCAACAGCTTATCTCCCCCTCGCGCCGCTAGAGGCGCTGTTGTAATATGAGGTATTCGAGATAAACAACATGGCGTACGCTTCGTACACCGTTCAGAAATTGAAAAAAGAATTGATGTTGCGCGGCGCTGTAACTACGGGAAGAAAAACAGATCTCATAGAAAGGTAAGAAAAACATTAATACTGTTAAAAATAAATGATTTTCATTGAAGTAATCGTAATGTGATTAAAATAATTAGGGTTATCAGAGTCAAGTTACACGAGTGCTACATTGTCAGTGATTGTACTGACAATATGCCTACAAGAACTGTTAAACAAATTTCATATTACTGTGTAGGTTGGAAGCATACGAACGAAATTTTAACTTTAGCGGTCCCGTAATAGAGCTGCCAGCGGAAAGGAAGGTAGACTGGCCCACTACTGGGTATAAACAAATAACATCAGAGCATTATGACTTAATGCCACATATATCAGAAGCCCATATCGAAGGTACAGTAATATGGGGGAAAATCGCTTAAGTATGTTAAAAAATTTGGTGTATGCCACATATGAAATTTAACAGTTTTGAGGATATCAGGTGTAAAACTTGTATATATTTTCTTTTGGAATTCTTAGGATATTTTCAATACAGACAAGCAGTTGACAGGCAAATGATGGGCAATACAAAGGCGATTGTGAAAGGAAAATTGCTCTTGGAGTCAGAGAGAGTTGAAGCACTGAGTATTAACTGTCAACATGAGGACTTTTATCTTACAGGATTTGTCAGAGCAGCAATGAAGAAAAAGGTAGTGTTTCAAAATAAATGAACAACAACTAATTAAAAACAGATTTAAAAAAAAATCAATGTACATGTGTGTGTAGTATGAATGTAGAGTGAATCAAGATTGTCTGAGTAATGAGTATTATATTGTTGACTGTATTTAACAGGTGTCTTACAATTATCGTGTAAGAATTCACAGAAAAACGGGTGAAATTAAAAATTCAGATTGTGAATGCCCTGCTGGGAAGGGCCCTAATGGAACTTGTAAACATGTAGCCGCTGTTGTTTTGCTCTTGGTGAAATTTCGGGAAACACGCATTATAGCCATTCCTAGGGGATGTACAGATAATCTCCAGACTTTTCATAAGCCAAAGAAGTCTTTCCAAGTTGAGCTGCCTGTGTTTAAAAATGTTTCCTATTCATGTTTTTTTTTTAATTTGACTATTTAAATTTTGAATATTTGTTGTTGTTTATATACACAAGTGTCAAAAGTTACAAACGACTTTTCAGTATATATTAAATTTTGATGATGATGATGCCCCATCTTCGCTAGCTAAGGGTTTCTGGTCTGCTACTCAACTTACAAACCCTTGGCCTATGGTGTTATCAAAAGTCGGGATTTTTTTTTTTCTCGAGTTGCGATTGGAGTTTCTTGATATTGTTTGACCAATCAGCAAATGCTTTTGTACATATGACGATATCTCAATTTGGGATATATCTTGACTCAAAAGTCTCAGGAATGAAAAAAATGGGTAAACAATGATCCCTAACATGCCTAAGATAATGTGGCATTATATAAATGGCTATAGTGTCATCCATGCACATAATGTGATCAGGAATCTGTATTGGAGATACAGACTTGCACCCTTAAGAACAAATAAACATTGCTCGATAGCTACTTCTTAATTTTTTTTTTTTTTAAAAACGCTCTTTATTTTTGTTGATGATGCTAGTTGTGGGTACATGTATGTGGTAAGATTCGAAATCAGGTGACATAAACAATCCCAACTTTTGATAGCACCATTGGCTAAGGGTGGCTAGCTAAGATAATAATGTCCTGTAACATATAACAACTTTAATTCTGTGACCCATGTCACAATATTTTTAAAATATAAAAGTTGCATGATCTACAGACAGGTATACAAAACTACAGTTTGAGAAGTTGTTTTAGGTAGTTCTTCTCATGCAGGCAAAATTTAGTTTTTATGTTCAGTCTTTGTTGAATATACACTAAAGATGAATACATATGATCCACAAATTTACAAGTCATGTACATGTATATTATAAGTAAACCATGAAATAAGAAAGCTTTAAATTAATGCAGATATTGATTACAAATACTGATATATTCAATATATTACTTAATTAAAAGTGATGGAAATGTGATTTCTTTGTACAGGAATACAATACTGAAATATGTATTTGGCAAATTGTAATAGACGTTAAATTACACGTAAACTAATGTGGTTTTTTTTTGGTTAATGTCCGACTTATTTTAAACCTTTGAATTTTACAGGCTCCCCCATAAAAGCAGAAGACATGCCTTGTCGGTACAACCCAGATCTTAGTGACCCAAGACCTCAGAAATACAGAGGAATTGCTGGATACAACGATTATGTGAGCAACATTTTAACCAATTACTGTGCTTTAACGTCAGCAGATTTATCTTTCAAGTACATGAAGCCCAAGGCATTTATCAACTTTGCAGTACTGGACCATGATTACTTGGACCTGCCATTCACTGAATATTGGATAGATGCAGCTCAGAATGTATGATATTAATGAAATATTTTGTTAATTATAATCTTTTGTAAGAGTAATGATTTATATGTCTTTTGGAAAAGAAAAAAAAAAAAACAAGATGTGTTTGTAAAACACTGATGCCTCCATATGGCAGCTTCTGGCAATGGTGAAAGTTGAAGATACATGTATTGATAATTTAAAGTGCTACTGAACTATTCTTATAAGGTTACATTATAAATTCTTGAAATATAGAACTGGTTTATAATGAATTTTGATATACTTGAAGTGTTTCTTTGGTATGAACAAATTTTAATTTTTCGTATCTAGGTTTCAGATAGGGACATTGCCCGCATCGAACACAGAACTAGGAAACAGAATCTGTCGAAAGTTTGGCACCAAGAGAGAGAATGGCATTTGACAGCTTCCAGGTTTGGGGATATTTGCAAAGCTACTGATCCATGTAACAGACTGAAGCTGTGTTCTAGCATCTTTAAACCTCTTAAACTGAAAACACCAGCTGTCTTAAATGGCCAACAGTATGAAGCTGTAGCAAGACAAACATTTCAAGAAAAAATGGGTTTCAAAGTAAAGACTTGTGGTCTTTTCATAGACTCGGAGAACAATTATTTGGCTGCTTCGCCCGATGGCATTATTGGAGAAAATGCTATTGTTGAAATTAAATGTCCATATAAGGGTAGAGATCGTAAGATTGCTGCAGACAAGTTTTTCCCATTCTTGCTAGAGGATGATGATGGTGTATTGCATTTAAAACAGAATCATAATTATTATATGCAGGTGCAAGGGCAGCTTAATGTTTGTAAAAAAGAGAAGTGTTTCTTTGTTGTTTACACATTTGTAGATATTTTTGTGGAAGAAATCAATGTTGATAGAGTTTACTTCTGTGGTTGCATGCTACCAAAGTTAGAGTTGTTTTATAAAAAACACTACAGAAAATTTCTTGCTGAAAAATTGTAAATTGATGTCATAAATCTGCAGTTTAAGCTTTTTCTGTGAAGACTTGTACATAAATTGTTCATTTCATTTCTATATGGATAATATGATGATATTTGCAGGTTTTTTTTTTAGAAAAGCCTTTTACATCTGTTAAGATCAGCACAGTATTTTGATTGTTTATCAAAACTTAACATGGTCATTATAGTGCACTGTTGTAATTGATAACATTTTTTTACCATTGAAACTATGGTTCTATATTACAAAATGTAGATTTTCAGTAGTCAACCTGGAATTTAGAATAATCCAAGAGAAATGTTTATGAAGTTATTAATGGTTTGTAAAGAGGTGAAGAGGTGTATAGAGATAATTATAAAGATGTATCCACTTGCTGCTTTAAGACAGAATTATGTAAGAAACAACAGTTAATTAAGTACAATGTGAAAATGTTAGATTGAATAATGCAAGTGTAACTGAAATCATTGTTTTTATTCTACAACATGTATTAAATAATATTCATTTGAATGGTAGTACATTATTATGAATATTTGTCAATGATGCAAGGTCTAAAATTCAGTATTGAAAAACAAATAAAAATGATTCTAGAGCCTAAAATGGCTTTGCCCTGTGGTAGCTCTTTCTTGAGAATTTTGAAAGTCTTGGCCAGTCCAATGATTCTTTCAACATGAATTCGCTTTGATGCGATTCTTCGGTCTTTAACAACATCTTGTGCCTCAAGTTGGCTTTTTCCTTTCAACATTGTTGGAGTGTTGACCTGAATGTTACGAGGGGCAAACAAATCCTGGACCATGATACCCCTGTCAGCCATTATACTGTCATGGTCTTGGAATTTGTCCTGGTCTCTAAGTAAGTCAGAACGTTCAATAATTTGTCTGTCACTTGTAGCACCACAGTATGCATCGGAAATATAACTGACAGTTCCACGTGGTGTACAACCAATCATCACCTTTAGTGTATTTTTATTCTTGTAATTTGAAAATGTAGCACTCTGGGCATTTACATTCTGGGGCTTATTTATTGGTACCTCAGTGGCATCAATTATCACTCTAGTTTTGCAGAAATTTGCAAAGAAGTCATCAGGCATATATTCATCAATTACAGATCTCGAGGGCCAAATGTTAATCTCTTTAAGTTGGAAGTACATAAAATTGATCCATGTAACAATAATATTTGAAACAGTACTTTCACTGACTTGAAACAAATAACTCAACTCAATGTCTTCTTTAGCTTGTCTCAGTTTTATCATAACTAAAAAGAACTGGTCTTGAGGGGAAAGTAAGTTGCTTTTTAGATTCAAATCATGTGCTGCAGGACCAAGTACTTGAAAAAACATCATGAAATGGTCATAATTTTCAAAACCAGTGTAATATTTCACCATTTTATCATTACTTTGCAATTTTTCAATGGAAAATCTGTTGCTTTTTCCAATATCACATTGGACTGACTGATCATGCAGCTTCTTTTCATCACTTTCATAACATTCACAATCAACATTAACTTGTTGTACAGACTCCACCACCACTTCATTCACAACACATTCACTACTAGACCCATTTTCACTATGATCTCTAATACATTCACTACTAGACACATTTTCACTATGATCTCTACCACACTTGACTCTTTTACTGTATCTTTGTTCTCTTGCGCTAGATGACTCATTCTTACATGCAAAGGAAAAGACAGAAGGAACAGCCTCTGGTTTTAGTCTCTTTCTCTCCCCTTAAAATAAAACAAACTCTTTTGTAACCTACTTTCACTTTCATGTGTTTTCTCTTTATTTCGAAAAATAAGGAAACATTTGGTGTGATTATAATTAAATACACGCTAACTAAATAATTGATAATTCGAGTATGATGAATCGCCAGAGTATGAAAACAGTAGGCTTAACGTTAGCCGTGTTAACTGCGCATCGCATGTATACAGTAGATTTAATTCACGTTACGATGATTTGGAGCTAAGAACCAATTATTTAAAAACGTAGTTAATTAGATCAACAACTAGTTTACCATAACGAACTAACCAAGTAGTGTTGATTGAATGTAATCATCGGGTGTGAAGTGATCTCCACACACCCGGTCGTGAGCAGCCGGCTCCCATAACTTTCTTGATTTTACATCCAATCTTCGAATCGCGACTCGCCATTTCAATTTTAGATCGGGATTCGAAGGGAACAGATGTCCACCTTTCTTACTTTTACACGTAGGTACACAACAATACACTGGCATATCGACGATTCATCCTTAACGCGGTTTCTAACTATTATAAAGTAGATCTAGACAAATATGGCGACGTATCTATACCTCATAGTACACGAGCGCCACCTGGGGGAGATAACTCTTCTTGGCGGACCTTATTCATTCACAATTATAAAACAAATTATTTACTTCAGAGATGTAACTACTTGATATTCTTACTGTCAAAACGGCGAAATTATCAAGCTTGGGGAATCCAATACAATACACCGGAAGTAGACATTATTGGAACGCGAAAGTGAAAAATGTAAACAAGAGGACTGATGAGAAAAAGATACAAACTGCAGCCAGATAAACTTGTTTAAGATCTTAATACAGAGGAAATATTCAATTACATGTAATGTTTTAATTACTTGTTCCATCGTCCAGTTGATATGATATAATAGACCATTGACAATATTCAAAATCATGACTGATGAGATAAGTCTCATTTTAAGTCAATATTTGAATGCCCATTGTGGCCCTACCCTAACCCAGGCGTCTTTAATTGAAAATCCATGAGTCTTCGATACCTGAGGAACCTTTCATAAAAATATGATTAATCATGGCCTTGTCGCTCTTGAAAATAATTTTTTAAACGGATATCTTTCTGTAAAACTTTGATCAACTATTGTGGCCCACCTTACTCCCGGAAATCATGATTTGAAGAAACTAGAAAAAAAATACATGATAATGCTTCCATATCAATCTGACTAGTCAGGGCTTTGCTAATACCCTGGAAAAGATTGTTAAAGATTCCTTAATATGTATATTTCTAAGTAAATTTTGATTGCAAATTGTTGCCCATTCCCTACCACCATGGTTTAAACAAACTAGAGTATACACTACCTGAGGCTGTTTCCAAGGAAATATGATTGATTTTGGCTTTACTGTTTTTGAGAAGATTTTTTAAAAAGATTTTTCCTTTATATTCCCACTCAAAAGCCCTGGTCGCTCGTAGTAAACCCATCGTACTCCCTCAAGACATGAACATTGAACCTACACTATATTAAGATGCTTTCATTAATAAAGTTTCATTTTTTCTGGTCTAGTGGTTTTTGAGAAGATTTTTTAAATGACCCCACCATATTTTACTATTTCTTATACTCCCTTTTAGAGAGGACGTGGCCGTTCCTTTTAACAGCCTGAATCCCCATCAGCCAGGGGTATTCTCTTCAAAGTTTGGTTGAAATTTGCCCAGCGGTTCTGGGGAAAATTATGAAATTTTTAAAATGATGAAGACAACGACACAATTTTTTTTTAACCAGAAAATCTCAAAGAGCCTTCGGCTAAGATGAGATGAAAAGTGTCCCTTTCCAGTGAAATTGTTTTAAAAAGCTTCTATAATATTTCTTTTGAAGTACAGAAAATAAAATAAATCAGATATATATATATATATATATATATATATATATATATATATATATATATATATATATATATATATATATATATATAAAGAATTATGCTTTTGTCCCTTGAAAAGTGACCCCTACCCTAGAACTGACTTTCGAGTATATCTTTATATAACAAATAACATATTCTCTGTCCCTTAGTAGCTGAAAAAAAATTCAAGGTATAATAAAAAAAATTGTTCATAAAAATGTCGGAATCTCAAAAGGAGGAATAAGGTGCTTATGACGACACACTCGCTTTGTTGAGGAGGACAATATATGATGTACTTAATGACGCTTAATGAGCATCATCATCCCTTTAACTTCTGTTCCATACTCAATTACAGGACTCCAGACCTGTTGCCAGTATGATGAGGACCAGGGACCATTAAGGAAAGCCTGGTGACAGCGGTTAAACCACCACCCTCCTCTCATATGTAGAGCACAGTTACCGTTCGTACCGGTATTGTCGTTATCCTTGTCTGGAGTACTGAAGTACATCCCAGACAAACGACCAAAGAAAACCGTGTCCACCATACTGTCACCTTAAATAGAGATAAAATGAAAGTAAACGAACGCATACATCATTACAATACACATATTGTCATCTTGAATAGACTTAAAATGATAGTAAAACAACATATACATTAATACAATACACAAATTGTCATTTAAAATGGAGATAATTGAAAATATAAAGTATACATCAATACAATATACACATTTTCACCGAAATAGAAATAAAATGAAAGTAAGTAAAACAATATTTACATCATTACATTACTCATTACATTACACATACTGTCTTGCCCGCGTGGCGTAGTGGTTAGAGCGTATGCTCTAGAGTCGCGGAGTAAGGAGTTGATCCTTACGTCGCAGGTTCGAATCCCACTGCGGGACGTGGAGACCGGTCCTTCGCATGAGACCGTATAAACCGAGGTCCCGTGTCGCAGTAGGTGCTGGCACGAAAGAGATCCCTCACTGCTCAATGGTTCTGAGTGCCGAGTATAGGTCAAAATTTGTAGCCCCCCACCGGCAAGTGGTGGCGTCTCCATATAATTGAAAAATTCTCGGGAGGGACGTTAAACAACAAACAAAACACATACTGTCACCTTAAATAGAGATAAAATGAAAGCAAAACAACGTATATATCACTACAATACACAAACTGTCATCTTATAAAGATATAAATAAAATGAAAGTAAAACAAATGTATACATCACTACAATAAAATACTGTGACCTTGAAAAGAGATAAAACGAAAGTAAAACAACGGATACATCATTACAATTACAATACACATGCTGTCACCACAAATAGAGTTAAAATGATAGTAAAACAACATATACATCAATACAATAGACATAGTGTCACCTAAAATTGAGATAAAATAAAAATATAACAAAGTATACATTATTACAAGACACACTTTTTCACTGAAATGGAAATGAAAGTAAATAAAACAATATTGACATGATTACAGTACACATACTGTCAGCTTAAATAGAGATAAAATGAAAGAAAAACAATGAAAAGTATTCATAAGTACAATAAATATGCATTTATATAACTCTTTGTATTTCAGCATTTCAATCAAATAGTTTGAATATGTCACATACCTAAGGTTCCCTTGGTACTGCCCGTCAGGAAGAGTTTATATTTTTCTGCTTCACTGGAAACAGAGAATCCATCGTACAACTGATACAGTGTAGTGCCATTCAACAGTGTGATGGAAACATAGAGGTAAGAGTTCTTTCCCTTTGTTAACTGATGGATTACGTCATTTCCTGTATGAAAGATATATATGTGAAAGAAGAAAGTACGTTATGTACCAAAATCGGCCCTGTCCCAAAATCTGATGAAGATTTTCTTGAAA